AATGTATAATTTCAGAGCTGAACAACAGAGAAATGTCTAAAATCATAACATCTTAGTAACATTTATTAACATTTTATTTTAACATTTTATATAAACCGCGCGGAGCGGTTTATATAGCGTCGTATAAGTAACCGCTCGACCAATCAGATTGCTGGAAACTCTTTGCTCAGCTCTGAAATTATACTAAAAGATATATATGATTACTGATGAGTTTCTTACCAGGCAGTTTTTGCAGCATGAATGATGTAGGTCACTGCACTGAGATTCCTCTTTGAGAACACAGTTCTTGGGTTCGCAGCAAGGATCGCTGGCCTTACACATCTGTGAATAGTAAAGCAAATCCTAAAAATCATAGTATCAAGACAATATACGTCACTGCAAAAAATCAATCGCCATGACATCTCATGGAAACTGCTTGAAGCTGGAAAAAATGTATGAAAAGTTTTCTTCAAACCAAAATAACGGGTACATTTAAAGGCACATTTTGAAAGAGGGTATAATACCTTTTTCGTCAGATAAAAAGATGGCCGCAGGCCGTTATAGTCGCAACGTGTAGTTGTGAAATCTAAAACAAGTTGTGTTTCACATATTTTTACGCACCTCAGGAGTACCGCAGTCACATTCCTCTCCTTCTTCACGTATGCCGTTTCCACAATAACTGTTGACAGCCTAAAATTAAAACAGTCTCAACATGTACCACATTTAAAATGTCATCGCTGCTGGAGGATGTCAATGGGGTAGTAACGCATGTGACAATCAAAAGGAGACTTTTGGACGTTTGACAGTTCAATCTAAGTTTTTTTCTCTAGATTGCTCGGTAAACAGTGTAATCGGCATTTAGTCAGGGGCTTTGTGGGAGACCAGAATTGACTTGTATTGAAAATCTTGATATAGGCTCGAGAGTGGAAGCACGAGAAATGGAAATAGTTAAAAGCATGTGATCTGGAAGATAAGACCCCTTTCAAGGCTCTTTGTTGCCATAATGGCGTTACCCGAGTAACCTTTTTGTAACCGGCTACAATAAACCCTCACGAGCCTTCGTTTGCAGGTGATCAGTATCAGCCATTTTAAAAGCTTTGAAGACGAATGTTTCTTCCTTTGCCAGGGAGCTGTTGCTTTTTTGCTAACCATTGATATCCTCAGTAGTGTTGGTACTTCTTCTTTGGTCTTGAAGTATCAGAATTGCTTTTCTGAGAGATACTGAACTTTGAAAAAGTATTTTCAGCGAATTTTGCAGCGATCGAAAACAAACGCTAATGGAGAGTTTTAGATTCAGGTTTTTTTTTACTGAAAAAGTGTGAATGCGAATCACTAGGAGTCACATGAACTGACTCCAGCGGTCACGTTCACCGTTTGCAGTCCACGTTTGAACTTCGGGCAAGGACATTTCAGATTGGTCAACTCCTTTGGCGCTTTTCTGCTTCCTGTTCGGGTAATATATGTGAGATGAGATCTTTTCCTATACGCAGTCGCTGTATAGCTCATTATAGGACATAACGTACGCATCCTCGATGAGGAGACATGGCGTTTACCTTGTAAGTTGGCACGTTGTACAAGCAAGCATCGTTAACCCTTTGCAGCGACGTTAAACTGCAATTTGAAAATCCTGGAAGTCTGGTCCTGCAAGACAGTTCGCTGAATGATTGATGAAAGTTTCCTTTACTTTACATAAAGTGGAATATTGAAAACATACAAATGTCCTTGTTATCAAAGTCCAAAGGACTTCCTCGTGTTTTCATAGCCTTATGTTGCGTTATATTATTATTATCTGTACTTTTGTTAACCTATCAATTGACCGATACCTCAACCTTACAACCCAGTTTATGAAAGAGATCTCTACCGTAATCTAAATAAATGAGGAAATGGTCAAAATAAAAGATTATCGTATAAATGTAGGAGACATCCATAACCTACTTGTGACCTCCCATGATGCAGCCACGTGGCGTTAAGCACTTGCAGGTCCCTGCAGGGAGACGCAGAATTGCGATAATACAAAATAAGGGAAAGGAAAATAAATAGCCACAATGAAAATCGAGATGCGAAGAAAAAAAAGTCCGAAAATTAAAATATTATGGGCGAAATATCTCGTAAAACAACTGACTGAACAAATGCAAGGGAACATCTCACGATGTTTCGGATTTTCTGATCATGATAAATGCTAACATGTTTACCTTAGAGTCACTTAAAAAGCTTGGATTTCCTTTTTTACGTGTTACTATTAATTAATGTCTAACTCAGGATTACTAATCACAATCAAACAGAGCTTCCAGTAATACAGCGATCGAGAATATCTTAACTTTGTAGGAGTGTTCTTTTATCTTCACCTGTGTCATGATTGAATCCAAAGTTGTGACCCATTTCATGAGCAAGAGTAACGTAAGGACCAATGATACTGTTATAATACCACTGTGAAAAAAATGTAGAAAATGGTACAATCGTGTCTCTTGTGTTATTATAGTGCGCATAGCTTTTACTTTTGAAGGGCGCCACGTTGGTGCACGTGCTATTGAGAAATTCGTGACTATTAGAAATATTGTGTATTCTAGAATATTAATGTTTCTTTTTAATTATCCTTTTTCCGAATGAGATATTTCAGTTGAGCGCGAAGTTCGCGTAGAAGAGAAGGCTTTTGAACGTATTTGTTTAGCGAAGATCGCTGAAGATTCTCAGATAATTTATGAGTTCAGTTCGTGTTGTTGTATACCTGGAAGTCTGAGAATTAAACGCTTGAGGAAGTCTTTACAGGTACAATATATCCATAACTTATTAGACGTTTTGCTGTGTAGTATCGCTGAGTATTTTTACGAGTTGTGCCGTATTTTGACGAGCCTGTAGAGCGAATCAAATTGCAAATAACGAGTAAAAATACTCAGCGATATTACACACCAAAACTTTTAATAAGTTATTTATTATCTAACACGCCAAATTGTTATTTATTTATGGAGAGTGCGTGACAGAAGTATGCGACGCAGAACAGAATTGACGCGTTGTCGTGTTCCTGTTTCTATTTTCATCAATAAATGATGGAATTTCATTGTCGTCTAAATGCTTTTCTTCGTTCGCTTTATCTAGTAAACTTGAATCAATATTCGCCAGCCATTCCGACTCTTCGTCGTCAGCGTAATAATTTAAATTGTCCGCCACTTTTTTTTTGTAACTTTTATCCACTTCTTCGCTTGCGCGATGCTAGAAAAACTGTCTAACCGGTTCTCCGGAGTACAAATACATATATCTTATTAGACGTTTTGTTGAGTAGCATCGCTGAGTATTTTTACGAGTTGCGCCGTATTTTTACGAGCCCGTAGGGCGAGTCAAACTACAAATAACTAGTAAAAATACTCAGCGATACTACACAACAAAACGTCTAATAAGTTATTTATTATCCAACACGCCAAACTGTTATTGC